ATAGTATATTAATTCATTGACTTCCAAAAAAGATGGAGTTTTGAAGTCTGTTTTTTTAAACGTAGTTTTTAAAAGAATTGTCATAAACATGACTTGATTTACTATCTAATCCAATATTTATTTACTTTAGTTTGTTGTTCAAACTATGTGTGTAATTATTATTGTGTTATTCATAGACCTGACTTAAATTGTCCCCGAGTCGAGAAAAATATTATTGTAGCTAGGTTTTTTCGAAATATTGACTTTATCTTAACTCGTGTTTGTTTTTGGCTGTACGTCATGTCAGTAGGACAATAAAATTATGTCTTCTATACATGCTAGCGGAGAAACCGTGTTACAAATAAGTTCCTTAAATCCTACTTCTTTTTTTTACCGCGGGGCGTGCTCTGAGGAATTGTTTGGTCTGATACCTGCCGCGCTTTTTTTTATCGTTGCCCCACACTAGGATTTTCTCCTGTGTCGTGGGTGCGTTTTTTTTTTTTTTTTTATTTTTTTTTTAAGGGGGGAAAATCATCAAATGACTGCCCCCGCCTGGGTGAGACGGGAGGGAGTGTCAGAGGGGAAAATCATCGAATGACTGCCCCCGCCTGGGTGAGGCGGGAGGGAGTGTCAGACTCTTACTGACTAAAAACCACCCCGTTCCTTCTCCTGCACGTCGAGCCGGAGCCCCGGTTACCCGTTAGGTTCTCCGCGACTCCGAATCGGCATCGGCCCTATTGGGCCCCATCTGTGGTGGTCTGATGGCTCTTTGAGGCGCGCGCGGAACGCGACGCGCCGTACGCTCGGGTCTGTTTCTGGTCGGACGGGGAGCCACCCATGCTCGCCGTCCGCAGGCCCGCGCTTACGGTGGCCGGAGATCGTCCCGCGATCCCCGACGCCCGGTGTGTCCTTCGCGATGGCTGGGTTGCGAGGAGGCAGCGCTTCGCTGCCTCACGCGTCCCGCCTCCTCCTTAGCTAGCATGACTGCTTCGCAAAAGGAGGAGACGGCATCCCAATCCCCCTCGCTCCGCATCATGGCCTGCACTAGGCCCGGACGCGAGAGGTCGCCATCGCCGATCACTTCCCTGAGGACACGGCGGTGCTCAGCCCACGAAGGGCATTCTCCCACCGTGTGTTCCACCGTGTCCTCAGGGCGGTCCTCGCAGTGATGACACCCGGGCGTTTCCTCCCGCCCCATCAGACACAGGTACCTCCCGAAACTTCCATGTCCGGTGAGGACCTGCGTCAGGCGGTAGGTGAGGACGCCGTAGCGTCTCTCAAGCCACTCCTCAAAGAGGGGACTTACCGCTGCGATGGCAGCGAGCCCAGCCCTCGGTTGCGACAGTCGTTGCTGCCATTCCGCCATGAGATCGCGCCGGAGCTCATCCCGCCACGCACCTATCTGGCGCGGCAGCGGGGTTTCGCCCCGGCGACGTGCCTCCGCGCGCATGCTGTACACGCGCGCGAGCACCTTCGCCTCCAGATCCCACGGCGGTAATTCGGCAAGGAGGTTCGCCGACTCCCCAGAGATCGTGCGGTATCCGCGGAGTCGTGGGTGCGTTTACAAACATACAAGTTCACATACACAATAACACCTAGACTTGAAACAACAATTTGTGGATCACACAAAGTGTTGTTCCGTGCGGGAATCGAACCCGCAACACACAGCGGGTGACAGTCCACTGCTGCACTATGAGTCTCCTCTATATAAGAGGGTCGATCTCCAACCCTCTCCAGTGTAAAAGGTTCAGGTTTATCAGAGAGCGCTACTGCACGGTCTCTGCCTAATGTAACCTGGCCTAAATGTAAAGCCAAATCTAACCAGAGTAGGGGTGGTCACGAGTGTATCCTAGTACACGGAACAACGGGTTCCTCAAATTCTACTTTATCTTCACGCGATAGTATGCTCTAAATGTTGACAGTAATGGATGACTTTCCCTTGACCCAGATATCATCAGCAGTGCGAATAATTTTGCATATATGATAAATGTATTTCATTCATAAATGTATAACTAATTTTGCATTTATTAAATGCTGTATATTCGAGCGAGCTATTGACTGGACAATCTTTGTGAAACAAGTGAATTTATTTGTGCAAATAGGCTACAAGGCAGCACTTTTACACGTCAATTTTATCAATATATTTAGTTCTTACATTGTATAATGCCATCATTGCAGTTAGGTTACCGAAAAATGGTGCTGGTGGAGGATACAGAAGTCACTGTTTACAAGTGAACATTAGCTCAAGCCATGACCATATTACCTAATATTAATTTCTTCTTATTTATTAAATCCTCCCGACTTACTGAGACGGGAGGTTGATTCAAGTGTAGGAGAGCCTTGCTTCGGCAGTGCTGGGCTGGCTCGACCGCAGTGATACCACCAACGAGCAGAAAACCGTAGTGAAACAACTCTTGTGTTATGTTTCGTCGTACGTTTGAGGTTACAGGAAGCCCAAGTGCCCCCCAATCTCTGAATCCCTCACCATCTTCAAAGGCCTAATCCCCAAAAGGCCGGTAACACACTGGTTACGCCTCTGGTGTTTCGGATGTCCATGGACGACGCTAACTGCTCGTATACCGGCTTATCCCATAAAAAAAATGAAGTGTTAGACTCTTACTGACGCCGCAGAGAACCTAACGGGTTACCGAGGCTCCGGCTCAAAGTGCAGGAGTAGGAACGGGGTAATTTTTAGTCAGTAAGAGTCTCACACTCCCTCCCGCCTCACCCAGGCGGGAGCAGTCATTCGATGATTTTCCCCCCTTAAAAAAAAGACTCATACTGACCAAAAATCACCCAGTTGGTATTCCTAGTTTAGCCTGGGCCTGGACAGTCCACGCTACCATCATCGGTTGACTTGACAATCTCTAGCTAGACTATATTAATGATACTCTGTGAAACTCAGTCGTGTATTGGTTACATAGTGATAACGCTACAAACAAATGTTTCCTGTCTGCGTGTAATAATAACATCAACTTCGGTTTCGTATTGAATGAGAAAATATCGGCTATTTAATAATCTCGGTAACTCGATATGAATGACCGTATTATCGATTCTTGGTGTCGATTTTTCGGAAATGACATAACATCATGCCTTTTTATCCCCGAAGGGTGAGGCAGAGGTGCACATTTCGGCACTTAATGCCATTGTACAAT